ATTATTATTATTTTTTTTTTAATTGTAAAAATGATTGGGGATACATAGTATGATTGCATGTTTATTATTTATGTTATTTAAATGATTTTATTGATTTGATAAAGAACAAATAATAATAATGATAATGATAATAATAAGATAAAAAAGAAAGGGGTAAAAAAAAAATGTACCTAAAGCCAAAGTTGGACATAATAAATAATTTTGTATCGTTGTCGATAAAAGAAAAATGTGTAATAATAATAATTATATTATGTTATTGAGTTATTGATTAACCTACTTATTTTATTTAAATAAATAAATAAAACATTGAAATTGTTAAGCAGAAAAAAAAATTATTTATAATTTAAATTATTGTCATATTTAAATAATTACCGTGAAATGAACAAAAAAAAAAAAAAATTTATTTATTGACGATCAAGATATTTATTATGGGTGATTAATAAAATAATAATAATAATAATTAACAATATATTTTTAAATAAATAAATAAATATTTTTGAAATAATTAATCATGTAATTTTTAGAACTTTAAAAAAAAAAAGGGGATAGAGAATCATTTAAATAAATAAATGTAAAAATCTCTGCTTAATTTAGATTTAAAATTTTTTTTTTTTTTTATTAATAATAAATGAAAATATTGTCCAACGTTGGTAATGTCACCAAAAAAAAAACCGAAATGAGATGAGATAATAATGATATTTTGTTTTAAATTTAAAAATTTGCCGGTATATACATATAAATATGATGAATTATATATTTTGGGTTTTGAATTTTTTTTTTTTTTTTTTGTTTTACTATCGGTGGCATATATGTATATGTATCGATAATGAAATAAACGTATGCTTCAGTAAGTAAATGACAATAATTAGTCTGCTAGCAATTGATAGTGTTTCTAGAAGTGTTTTAAATAAAGCAAGTGAATTAACTTATTTTTTTTTTATTATTATTATTATTTATTAGAATTACCTTATGGAAATCCTAAAATAATTTTCAGATAATAAGGATTTTCCTTTTTATTTTATTTTTTATTGATGTACACAATATAATCCTAATTGTAAATATTTTGGGGAAAATAATGATAAATGAATTAATGTACAAATGTTTATTTTCGATATACTTTTCTATATTTATATATTATTGATAAAATAAAAAAAAAAAACTGTATTTAAAATATGGGCTACTTAAAGATTACCAATGTTATTGTTATCTACCAGCCATATTTAAAAACAAGTGTTTCGATTTAAAGACGACAGATGTCACTACTATTTACTTTTTACTCTTACTTTTAACAAAACAAACAAAACCACGACAAATTTTACGTAGTTTTTAATACAAATAAAGGTCAAAAAAAATAATATAAGAGCTTTACTTTTATTGTTACAATCAGATATTATGGAAATTTTTATTTAACTTTAAACAAATTTTTAAGAGCTTAAGATAAACATAACATGTGAGTATTTTGGCCCTGAGAAGGGCCGTTTTGAACGTAAAAAATCTTTGGAATAGATGGTGATAATTCGGCAGGAATTAATTTAACCTCCGAAACCGTAGAGGGTTCTGCCTTGTCTTTTCAATGCGTATACGACGTCCATGGCTGTCACTGTTTTTCTCTTGGCGTGTTCGGTGTACGTGACTGCATCACGAATAACGTTTTCCAAGAATACTTTCAAAACACCACGAGTCTCTTCGTATATCAAACCAGATATACGTTTCACACCACCACGACGAGCCAAACGACGTATGGCGGGTTTCGTGATTCCCTGAATGTTATCTCTCAATACTTTACGATGACGCTTGGCTCCTCCTTTACCGAGACCTTTACCTCCTTTTCCTCTACCAGTCATATTGACAAACGAGTGTAATAAGTGTTTACTTCGCAAAAATTACAAAGTGAATGATGACGAATTATCGAACGACGCGGTATTTAAACCATGCGGAGCACGTGCGGATGCGAACGACCAATGAGAGCTCTGATCGAGGGCGCGACCGCCAATCAAACTCGACTCGACTCCGATCAAACAAGTATATAAACGTATTTCGTTCTCAATGTACTCATCATTTTATTAACAGAACTCGTATCTACGACTTACGTTTTATCGTATAATCATCTTATACTATTAAGTATAATTTTGAAATATGGCTCGTACTAAGCAAACTGCTCGTAAATCAACTGGAGGTAAAGCTCCTCGTAAACAACTTGCAACTAAAGCCGCCAGGAAAAGTGCTCCGGCCACCGGAGGAGTCAAGAAACCTCATCGTTATCGTCCGGGAACCGTAGCTCTTCGAGAAATCAGACGTTATCAAAAAAGTACCGAATTGCTCATCAGAAAATTACCTTTCCAACGTCTAGTGAGAGAAATCGCTCAAGATTTCAAAACCGATTTGAGATTTCAAAGTTCGGCCGTTATGGCTTTGCAAGAAGCGAGCGAAGCTTATTTGGTCGGATTATTCGAAGACACGAACTTGTGCGCCATTCACGCCAAACGTGTAACAATCATGCCTAAAGACATCCAGCTCGCTCGTAGAATCAGGGGAGAAAGAGCTTAAGCAGTTTTTAATTTTTCCGTTTTTAAATTTTACTCATTTAACCAAAACGGCCCTTTTCAGGGCCAAAATGTTTAACACGTTTAATATGCTTTTGCCTTGATTTTCATAATCTTATTTTCAGTTTCTTATTGGTAGAAATTTACCTGTCATTGATGTAAAAAATTTTGTGTATTGTTTATTTTGGTGTAGGCTTTGAATATTGAGATCACTTAAATACAATTCATTTTTTTTCTTCTACTGCAATTGGACAAACATGTTAAACTATAAATTTGTAGTTTTCTGTATATTGTTTAAATTTTTGCGGATAGGTACTCAGTGGTTCGAAATACTGCTTATACTTAACGAATAAAAAAAATTTTTTATAGGACAATGTGGAACTTATTGTAAATAACAAAATCGACTAACCACAAAAATCGATACTTATAGTATCCTTACAAATATTTTATTGTTGGACTACGCAATTGGAAAATGTAAGATACTTTCTTTATTATTCCTGAAATAAGAGCTGTCGATTTATTTTGCCTAACATATTAACTGCATGTCATGTGTATTTGCATAAAAATTTTTAAAAACATACTAATGTGGAATTATTTAATAATTAAATAGGTTACTAATTTTTATCTAATATAAAGTAAAATGCTCTTTCTATGATGAAATTACTTAACTAGAAGTATTCACAAGGTAAATATCAGTTTTTTTCATATTTATAAGTTTTAAAAAACTTTGGGTCTGAGTGTAATACAAAATTAATTGCTACTCTTATTAAAATTACGAATTTAGGTTAAGTTTTCAAATGTGGCGTTGCCAATTAGAGCATAACTTGTTACACGTGTTAAAATTGTTGGCCCTGAAAAGGGCCGTTTGTTCTGCGTAATAAAATAATAAAATATCGACAAATTACTTTTGATTTAAGGCTTCTTTTCCGTTTTCTTGGGCAAAAGTACTGCTTGGATGTTTGGTAGTACACCACCTTGTGCGATCGTTACTCCGGACAATAATTTGTTTAATTCTTCGTCGTTCCTGATGGCCAATTGCAAATGTCTCGGAATGATACGAGTTTTCTTGTTGTCACGAGCAGCGTTACCAGCCAACTCGAGAACTTCAGCAGCCAGATATTCCATCACTGCGGCCAAATAAACCGGAGCTCCGGCTCCGACTCTTTCGGCATAATTTCCCTTCCTCAACAAACGGTGAATTCTTCCCACGGGAAACTGAAGCCCAGCTCGATTGGAACGAGATTTTGCCTTTCCCTTGACTTTTCCACCTTTACCACGTCCAGACATGATGCGTAATAAATTAGTTAGAACGATGAACTTCGATAGACGATGTCAACGAATCAATTGAGTCGAGAAACGCTCGTTACGTATATATACGTAGGTGAGGAACGAAGCGATTCACGCAATGAGAGTGCGCGTCGATCGTTCGTGCGCAGTGGTTGGCCGTCACGCCCAGTCGTTGTGACGTATATATAAACGAGCGCTCGTACTCAGTCGTCATTGATTATCTAACTCGCATTCGTTGCCGTTCAGATTATTGTCGATTTTAACTTATCGTAATGCCGCCAAAAGCTACTGGCAAAGCCGTCAAGAAAGCCGGAAAGGCTCAGAAGAACATCTCCAAGGGAGACAAAAAGAAAAAGAGGAGGAGGAAGGAAAGTTACGCCATTTACATCTACAAAGTCCTCAAGCAAGTTCATCCCGACACTGGTATTTCGAGTAAAGCCATGAGCATCATGAACTCTTTCGTCAATGACATTTTCGAGAGAATCGCTGCAGAAGCTTCGAGATTATCTCATTACAACAAGAGATCGACCATCACGAGTCGGGAAATTCAAACGGCTGTTCGTCTGTTGTTACCCGGAGAATTGGCGAAACACGCCGTGAGCGAAGGAACAAAAGCTGTAACGAAATACACCAGTTCAAAATAAGAAAATTAACATTCGTAAAATATTTTTTTACTCTACTAACACCGGCCCTTTTCAGGGCCAACATTTTTAACACGTTTTTCAAAGCTTAGGTATATTTTAAGTCTACAATTTTCTGCTAACGTAAATTGTTTGCCTAATTGTAACTAAATTTCATTTAGATAATTGTTCCGAATAACGTTTTTTGTTAAATTAATTTTCTTTATTATAGGGAGTTGGCATTTGCTTGTAATTTTTTTTTACAAGGATGATTTCAATCAGTTAGGTTTTACAAATGACTTGTAATAACTAGAAATTTTTTTTTACTGAAATGCTTTGATTTTTTAAAATGTCACCTTTTGTGTCTGTATATCATGAGTCTAGTATTTTTCAACTAACATTATCAAATTACTGATACCTATTTGTACTCATATTTCTATATTCGTTATCGTCTTTGTTTTAATTGATTGTATAATAATTAAATCATAGAAATGCCGTCAAGCTTACTGTGTAATAAATTCTCAACAGCATCGAGTCAGTTGCAATCAAGAACAAATCAAATTATGATAATTGGCCCACTCGATCGGTTTGGTTTATTATGAGACTGTACCAGTAAATCTTAGCACTTAGTTTTTGAAGGTTTTAGTTAAGTCTTTACATACTAAAAATATATGATAACTAATAATTTCCATAGTAACTTCGTCATTGGTCAATTAAATTATATACAAGTATGTAACACTGTGGAATTGCCTTTATTTGTCTTTAAAATATAGTTAGTCGAGAATAGTTTTTTCTTACGTTGATACGTATACTTGTAAAACTTTCGAATATGACTGGGAGACAGGTAAATACCCAATTGCTTAAAAATTTCAGGTAATAATTTAAACTAATACTATGCATTAATCCTGAGTAAAATAACGTAAACATGAAATCTAAAGCTAAAAATCATTGACACCTATTATTATTATTGGATAGAAAGAACCTAATGAGTAAGATTATAATTGACGTATTTTTTTAGAGCTAATATTCATTGACGTGTTATATGTTTTGGCCCTGAAAAGGGCCGTTTTGGTTAAATGAGTAAAATGTAAAAAACGGAAAAATTAAAAACTGCTTAAGCTCTTTCTCCTCTGATTCTACGAGCGAGCTGGATGTCTTTAGGCATGATTGTTACACGTTTGGCGTGAATGGCACACAAGTTCGTGTCTTCGAATAATCCGACCAAATAAGCTTCGCTCGCTTCTTGCAAAGCCATAACAGCCGAACTTTGAAATCTCAAATCGGTTTTGAAATCCTGAGCGATTTCTCTCACTAGACGTTGGAACGGTAATTTTCTGATGAGCAATTCGGTACTTTTTTGATAACGTCTGATTTCTCGAAGAGCTACGGTTCCCGGACGATAACGATGAGGTTTCTTGACTCCTCCGGTGGCCGGAGCACTTTTCCTGGCGGCTTTGGTCGCAAGTTGTTTACGAGGAGCTTTACCTCCGGTTGATTTACGAGCAGTTTGCTTGGTACGAGCCATTTTTCAAAATTATACTAAATAGTATAAGATAATTATACGAAAAAACGTAAGTCGTAGATACGAATTCAGTTAGTGAAATGATGAGCACTTGAAAACGAAGTACGTTTATATACTAGTTTGATCGGAGTCGAGTCGAGTTTGATTGGCGGTTGCGCCCTCGATCAGAGCTCTCATTGGTCGTTCGGATCCGCACGTGCTCCGCATGGTTTAAATACCGCGTCGTTCGATAATTCGTCATCATTCACTTTATAATTTTTGCGAAGTAAACACTTATTACATTAGTTCGTCAATATGACTGGTAGAGGAAAAGGAGGTAAAGGTCTCGGTAAAGGAGGAGCCAAGCGTCATCGTAAAGTATTGAGAGATAACATTCAGGGAATCACGAAACCCGCCATACGTCGTTTGGCTCGTCGTGGTGGTGTGAAACGTATATCTGGTTTGATATACGAAGAGACTCGTGGTGTTTTGAAAGTTTTCTTGGAAAACGTGATTCGTGATGCAGTCACGTACACTGAACACGCCAAGAGAAAAACAGTGACAGCCATGGACGTCGTATACGCATTGAAAAGACAAGGCAGAACCCTCTACGGTTTCGGAGGTTAATTTAATTCTCGCCGAATTATCGACATCTATTCCAAAGATTTTTTTACAACCAAAACGGCCCTTTTCAGGGCCAAAAATGTAACACGTTTCAGAAGTTTTATACTCTTGTTTTTTTTTTTCGAGTTGCATTTTTGGCTCTTAATAGCATTGATGCATTTAAAAATAAATTTAATACTGTATTTTATACCCAATATTGATTTTAATATTAAATACATTGTTTTTTTTTATTGTATTAATTTTATCGCTTAGCTATGAGTTATAAACATTTAAACATTTTATTATACAATCACGGAAATGTACTTTTGTTTATATTTTTAAATTTTACTTATTCTAGTAATGTATTGATCTATTAGTCGCCAACTTATCACATGAAAACGTGCTACAATTATCTAAATTTTTATTATCTTTTTCGATTTAATGATTATGCTGCACACCCATATTTGCCAAAATGATATTTTACATAAAAAAAAAAAAAAAAACAAAGAGTCATATTTTTATTTAGTATAGTATAGAAAATTAAATTTAATTGACGTTAAGGGATTTGAAAATCATTATTTATAATAAAAACAGAAATTTTTAATGACCTTAATTGTTATCAATAAAAAAAATAATAATTTTTTTTATTTAGCTTTATCAGAGTCATTTATTTTCATTAACATGATTTATAATAAAAAATAATTTTTGCTTTTGCGAAATAATTTTTTTTAATAAAGCAATGTCTATCATCTTAATTAATAATAATTTATATAATTTTTCCGCATTAGAGACGAATTTTAACTAGTCAGTAAAAGGTAATAAATTTGAAAATAATATAAATTTATAATATTGTCATTATAATATTCTTTTTCATGATAAAAAAAAAATATATTGATCAGATTTTAAAATTCAAAAGTCGGTTCATAAAATCTAATAATTTTTATTAATTTATTAATAACGACTACTACTATTTCTTTATACTAAAACCTAAATTTAAGAATTTTTTTTTTTAATTCTTTTGATTACCAAATTCTCATAATAAAATTTGTTTTTTTAAATAACTAGAATTATAAATATGTAATTTTATTAAATGTTCCAAGTTTTTTTCTTTTTTTAATAATGCTTACTTTATAAGTTGGTAAAAATAGTAAAATTTAACTTGTTTAAATCATACTATTTAAGTTGTATGTTTTAGAAATTTAATTTTTTTTTTTTTTTAAATTTTATTTTATTATATTTCCTCAGGAGAGAATTCAATGATACAAATACAATAATGTAAAAATCCCTTTATTTTTAATTAATATTTTTTTTTCTAAAATAAAACTTGCTGAACGTAGGAAATAATGAATTATTATTAAATGCGAATAATATAATCAAAAATATTTTTTAATTTTTATCATACTAAACGGTTTTTGAAAAAAAAATTAAATATAAATTATTAGAATTATTTCTTTTAAATTACCAAATTATTATATATATGTCAGTTTTGATATTTTTTATGAGTTTTTATTATCCTTATATTTTCATCATTAATTTGTGATTGTGATAACACCAAATGATTATCCTTCATTATAAATATTTTTATATATTTTACAAATCCGTAAATATGATAACGATTATACCCAAAAATTTTTAAAAAATCTTATTAACTGTAATCTTTAATGAAGAGAAAAAAAAATTTTTTTTTGCTTTTATTAAAAAAATGTATTTTATTAAAAACATTACTCAAAATTACTCATAAAATTTCATAAAGGGAACTAATAATTTTTATTTAAACGTTAGATTTTTCTTACAAGTATTTTTCGTCTTATTTTTAAATGTTATTGATTTCATAAATAAATTTTTAAAAATATTTATTACTTATGAAAAAATTTGACTATCAAATATCATTAATATTTATCAACGAATATTATTAATTTTTTTAAAAGTTTAAATTTCCATAAATTTTTTTAAATAGCTTCACCAATGAAAAAAATAAAAATAATTTTTAATAATACATAAGAATTTCGATTGCTATAAAAGTGAAATATATTGGAAATTAATAAACCCGTAATAATTTTTTATGTTAAATAATATTAATAAATATTTTAATATTAATATGAAAAAAAATTGTTTGAATCGCGTGTTTGGAGGTAAAATTATTAAAAAGTAAAAATAAAATTCTTGAAAAGTTTTAGGTTTTTGAATACAAGTTTCTTACAAAAAAAAAAAAAAAAAAAAAAAATTAATGGAACTCAAACTATTGTAAAAATAAATTTAAAAAAAAAAAAAAAATTTAAATTTATTTATATTATTTTCAATAACAAAAGATTTAATATCCCGATCGGGTATTATTTTTACAAAATATATATATATAGAAATAATAATAATTTCAGGTAAAACTTTAGAAAAATTTAATTTTAATTTTCAAAAATTGTGTCGTTGAACTTTTAGCATGACTAATTCTAATTTTTATCGTTTTATTATTATTATTATTATTTTTTTTATAATTTAAAAACTTTATTCTTTTTTATTGTTTTCATTATCAAAAAGAAAAAAAAAAATTGACTAAAATTTAAAAATATCGGCTTGAATTAAAAATTTAGTCGATAGAAAATTTTTTCTTTTTTTTTTTTTTTTTTTTTTTTTTTTCAATAAAACATACAAATTTTAAAATAATAATAATAATTTTGTTTGGGTTTATATATTTTTTATTTTAAAATAAATTATTTAAAATTATAACTTTAGTAAAAAGTAGTGAGAAAAATAAGAAAATAAACTAATTATACCTGAGGCAATGGGTTACATTAATACCATCAAAAATCTCTTACACTAAAATGATGCATGCAAACTAATATATTAATATTAATATATTAATATAAATAAATAAGAGAAAAAGGAGCACTAATATATAATATATTTCAGTTAATTAAAGGATTTTAGTATTTGGGAAAAAACTATACGATATTTAAACCATTGTAAAAATCTTGGTCTTTATTCTTTATAATATTAATATAAAAGTATAAATATGTGTATATATTCATAGTGATTCACATAAAAATAAAATTATACTAAAAAAATTAATAATAAACTTAAATTTCACATAAAAAAGGTTAACTAACACGCTAATTTTAAAAATAAAATAATGTCTTGAGTAAATGTATAAAATCTTTCGTTAACCGAAATCGTTTATATTAACTTTACGAATTTTACTTAATTTTATGGATAAATAATTATTTATTTATTTATTTTTCAATCATTTATATTTTAATAATATTTAAAATGTCGTACATAAAAATCAATGATATAATTTAAGGTTAAAAACGAATAATAATGAACGAGGAAGGAAAATGTTTTTAAAAAAAAAAAAAGTCGAGCCTAAAAGTATGTTAAAAATATTTTCCGTATATAAAAAAACAATAATGACGTTAAAAATTTTGCATATTGTGAAAAAACAATACTATATTTACAAAATTATTTAATATTTATTTGTTTTATTTAAAAAAAAAAAAAAACAAATAATTAAAATTTATTTTAATAAAGTAAACTTTTATAGCCTGAATCATTGAGTAACACGACGAGACTCGGAATCAAAAGTTGTTCGGGAACTCAAAGTTTGCAATAGTTTTTTATTATATTTTTCCAAAAAATTTTCACATATTTATATTTAAAACGATAGTTTAGACATTTGTAAATGTTTTAAAAATGATAAATAATATTTTTATTGATTAATTAATTAAAATTTTAACGATCAATGAAAAGTAACTCGAGTTTTGCATGTGGAAGTCAATAATTATTTCGATTTATTTTAAATATTTAAAAATATTATTTGTATTTTTTCGAGTCCACGTGATAGCCAAACATTTAAATACAATTTTAAAATAATAAAACAATCAAAATTAATTAGTTAAAATGGGAAAAAAATTAATTTTGTAAGAGAATGTCGAACAAGTGCTAAAGGTAAAAACGTCCATTTTCGATTCGACGTGAACTGACGTCTATTGCGTCCGCGTGAAAACATTGCTTTACGTCGCAGTTTCAACTCAAGTTTATTTATACTCTTGAACTCGTTCTTGTTTTATCGAGTTTGATTTCTCGGATTTCTTTCCATTTCGTCTGAAGGAATTTTTTTTGTATTTCACGATGTCTGAAACTGAAGTAGCAAACGCTCCAGCTCCAGCGGCTTCAACGCCGAAGAAGACAGCTAAAGGAAAATCATCGGGACCTGCCGCAGCAGCAGCAGCAGCAGCTAAAAAAACGAAAGCGAAACCAACTCATCCTAAAACAGCTGACATGGTGACGGCAGCAATCAAGAATCTGAAGGAACGTGGAGGTTCATCACTCCAAGCCATTAAAAAATACATCGGTGCTAATTACAAAGTGGACGCTGAAAAATTAGCTCCGTTCATCAGAAAATACTTGAAATCTGCAGTCACGTCAGGATCTCTCGTTCAAACTAAAGGAAAGGGTGCCTCCGGTTCGTTTAAACTTCCACCTTCGGCAGAAAAAGCTCCGGCCAAAAAGAAAACAATCAAACCAGCACCAAAAGCAAAAGTGGCAGAGACCAAAGCTAAGAAACCTAAAGTTACTCCGACTAAGAAAACCGCAGTTAAGAAAAGTGCAAGCAGCGTTCCGAAGAAAGCTCCGGCAAAAGAAAAGCCAGCAAAAGCTGCAAATCCATCTAAAACGAAGAAAGTGAAAAAAGCACCGACCAAGAAACCTAAAGCTCCAAAGCCAAAGAAAGTCACTCAAGCGACGAAAGCAAAGGCTACAACCAAAAAAGCTACACCATCTAAGAAAAAGTAAAATTTTAGCTTTTTGCTTTTTCGAACAACATTTATGACGGCCCTTTTAAGGGCCCAAATCAAAACACGTTTAAAAGCTTAGTTCTTCGTAAAACATTTTTAATGTTCGTACAATCACTGCTTTTACCCACTCTTTGGTTTTCTTAGGTGAATTTTTTAAAATTCATTCACATTACTCGACATATAATTTTGCTTCAACCTTACATCAGCTTCGTGCTTTTTTTTACGATTTTTGAATCCAAATACCGTCTAATAAGTTGGCCAATCATTCTCGTTACAAGTTAGAAATGAAGACCTGTACACAGTCTATAAAGGTCGATAACTGTACACAGAATAGTTTTTGTACCCCACATTGGAGCATAGTTATAAAGCTTGGTATACAAAAATCTCTCAAGTAATAGGTTCAAAATACATCTCTCAGAAAATGGTCAATGATAAGAGCAAGACTATTTTTCCACTATATCACAACCAAAGAAAAATCAGGGAAAACTAGAATCATTTTTATTATAAATATATGACATGAGGTACGGCACCACTTAAGCCTGAAATTTCCAGTTCAGACTAAACGAAAATTACTCTGGTTCTACAATACA